TAACATCGCTCTCAGAGCAATTTTTTAATACATTCATATTCATGCAGTCTGCTTAGATTTTCTACACTCTCAAAAATTTTTGTACCTGAAAAACCTTCTGAATTGTGATAAAAGTTTAATTGCGTGTTGGAAATTTTATTCGATTAAAAAGACTTTTGCGAATTGACAATCTTCAAAATATACAAATTTATGAAGTGGTTTTTTTCAAAAAAATAAAGTACACAATCACAAATGAAAGCTTTTTAGGTGTATAATATGTATGTATAATCGTAAATTAGACAAAATGATTCGCAGTCATTTGCGAAAGTTAGAGATGTACGCATATTAAGTCACACATTTATGCATAACGAAACTATCACATAATCCAAACAAACTTTTTTCAAATATTCGAAAATTGCGAATTTTTGAAGATTTGAAAAAAGAATGGCAGTGAGAGGGATTATGTCATAGTTTGAATGAACACATTTAAGTCAAAATGGAATTGATAGCATAATTAATTAATTGTGTTTATCCGTAGTTATACATGAGCATTAAGTACCATCAAATGACATGGATGAACAATGTACAAGCCAAAAAGAGTATCTGTAATAGCAAGATGAGTTCTGATCTTATACATTCACTTTTATTGTTTGGTTATTTTAGTGAGAAACGAACAATTTTATAACTTAATTCAGTTCAACGTTTACATCAACAGATATATAGTACTAAATACTTTCAAAAGTTTACTACTGATATCATTCTTAAGCTTCGTACAAATATTTGTATAAAATAAGCCTTAACAGAGAACAGATTTTATAATTTTTTCACTTCGGTTTGGATAGCACAGTCTTGGACACGTGCAAATCTTCCGTGAAACCCGTCACAAATATCCATACGCATATGTTACGTCTATTATTTACATGTGGTTTTGATCCCAAATTAAAAAGGGTTTGAAATAACTTCGCTAAGTTTCTTTGCTGTTGGTGGGGTATTTGAACAAGTTGACCTGATTTGTAGTGGACAACTCCGTTGAAGGGCACTTTTTCGAGAGAGGTAAATCCCATAGGGACCAAATGGTTGAACCATTGTGTCGGTAACTTCTTCGGTATCTTCTATTGATTCAGAAGTAACAATATTTGGTGTTCTGAGTACTTGTTCTTTTCTATTTTCTATTTTTTCGTGTATCTAAAATATGCATAAATCATTACTTCAAAAATGATTCGCTTGTCAAAGTTATATTTGATTTCATGCTATTCAATATGTTCTGCGCATGCTAATAAATTCACTTACATTAGTTCAATGATATTATATACAGTAAAATGCAAAAGTTTACAGTTGTGTGATACTTTTTTTCCTTGTCAAAATTACTAAACTATTGGCAATTGCAACTTGTATTTCATTTATATAAATAAAAGAATAAGCATATGTTCAGCTAACCTCTTCTGAACGACTAGGTAGAACACATGAACCACTCACAAAGATTGAAAGCATAACAGGAAGAAATACGAGACCATGCAAAAGGCCGAGAACTATTGATAATAATACTGTCTGAAAGTTTTCAATTTCATTTATTGTTAAAATAATAAAATTGCAGAAGTCATCATTTAAATTTCGCCTTCAAAATTAACCAAGTTTGAAATTATTTTTAAAATTTAATACTTTGAAAAAAGTAATAATCATGTAGGCAGGTATATCAGCGAGGACAACAACAGCTAAGATTGTAGACATTGCTCCTTGTGAAACTGGCCAGCCAAGAGCTCCAAGAGCTGCTCTTATCCGTCGTTCTGGAGAAGATTCATTGGAAACCACATAGCCATAAGTAATGTGTGCTGAGTAATCCACCGAGAATCCAATTGACATGATTATGGTTATCATTGATATTGCATCCTAATAACAACGATTGTTTTGTAACAAATTTTCAAATAAGTTTATTTTGCTTTTTATTGCATTCAAAATTAAATTTACCCTATTTTTCATTATATTTTCAAATTTTTAAATATTGAAAGATATATTATGCAAATTTTTGTTTTTCTTAATCAACAAACTGTAGCAAAAAGAAAACTTACTAAATTTACATTCCAAAGAGTCATAAAACCAATGACCCCAAGGTCAATGGATGCAATTGCAAATGCCACCCATAAAGAGCACAATGGTTGTGGTATTAGAAGCATTGCGATAACAATCATTACTATCAGTGCTATCACTGTAAATTGCCATGTTATTAACTTTTCAAAAATTGACGTAAAGTAATAATTTTCTAGAAAATAAAAACTCACTAATATTTTGTATGGTATTCGGAATCACAATGGCATACTGATCCGTAAATAGCCAGAGTGGGGAAAATGTACTCACATTGTAATCTGGATACTTTTGAGCAATCTCTCGGAAAACTTTTGTTGCTTCTTCCTGGTGGAAAGTTTTAGAAATGTGTTTCATACCTATTAAGAATCTGTAAGCTAATATTACATTAAAATTTCAAATTTTGAAAGTGCTCTAAAATTTTGAAAAATTTGCTGCAAAAACAATTTGTTTCTTTTTGATATCCATATGCCAGATATTTTTTGCCTCCGATTATAAAAAAGTAATTACTAAAGTTCGTGCTTTTCTTCTTATATTATTATTATTATTATTATTATTATTATTAAGAATTCAACTTGGAAGAAATTGATAACAATCTTATGGAATATACCTGAAACTTCGTATTCTATACAATCCTTGAGAATCTTTCTCCCAAACAACATCTTCACTCCAAATATCCTGAGATTTCGCGGAGAAGAAATGCTCTGCCATCCCGTATATCTCAGATTTTACAATATCCATCTCCAGTTCCTTCGTATAATAAATTTCCATTTCTTTAAGCCAGAACTGCACACTGTCATCTCCTAAATGCTATATAATACAATATAATCAGGTAGAAAAATAAGCACTTTTGTACCTGGTACCTTTACTAATTAATATCTATCCACACTGATTACGATGACTCTAATTTACTGTATAAAATTCCTCCAGCAAAAATTTCTGGAAAATTAAAGCAATCTACACATGACATTTGAACTTACCAATCGAATATTTGCTGTTAGCAAATGTGTGTACCATTGAATGTACACGTTTCAATTCTTCTTCCTTTCTCAAATCTGGCGCGTTATTCACAACTATCTGAAAAGTTTGGCTATCATTACAGTAAATTACCTTAGATTTATTTTATTTTTTTGCGATAATAATTGCTCTTTCAAGTTTGATCAAAACTGATAAGTTGAAAGCTCTTTTAATGATCAAAGAAAGAATACTGAATCCATAAAAGTAATAATTCAAAATGGATAGACATCTCACCAATCAACAATGATGCTAGATGAATCAGCATATAACAAATAATAATAAACATGCTAACGAATTAAACGCTTACATAAGTTCCAGCTAGCTCTAATAACCATCATAAACAAAAATAGCGACAAAAAGTGATATTCTCGAAAGTAAATTGCAATCGGTAGTTTCATACCTGAAGAGGAGTACCATAACTCCAGAAATATTTCTCTAAATAACGGTAATGCGGTATTGCATATGAATCTTCCACTAGCAAGTTTACAGGTTCCAAGCCTTCACGTAAGTGAGCGCAGCCATAAACGGAAATGCAAATATAGATAATAAACCACATTATGACTAAGACTTTTACTACTGGATTCATTAGTACTGGAGCGAACCTGAAATATAAGTCAAAACCAATTTCTTTTGACTTATAAACAAAATAAACACTAAACTAACCATTCTTTGAAGAACGTTTTCGCACCCGTGTCTTTAAGATTTTGTTCCAGATTTTTCGGGTCCGGATCTGCTCTAGAACCCAACCAAAACAAACGACATGCCAATGAGCTAGATTTTATAAACGTATCTGGGACAGTAGGTCTGAACCAAATACAGTGTAATCCAGATGCTTCCCATTCTGCAGCCAACGACAGCAGTGCACAAAAGAAAGATATCTGTTTTTCGGTAAACATTTAAATTATTACACTTAATTGAAAGTAAACACAAAGACATTTTTCATATTTGAATTTCGAATATAATCTAATTAATTTAATTCAAACAGTATCTTACTTGATAGATGAATGTCACTGCTATTGCCACACACGTATAAATACAAAATATTTGCACCGCTGGGATGCTGCAAAAAGATATATTAAATGTATCTGCCATGTATTTCCTCTTCATTGAACTGATCATTTTCTTTTATTGCTGCGTGATTTTCACGTTGATTTCATTTCCGCATGGAAATTGTAAAATGATTAAAATGTTAAGCACTGTATATATTCCAGCACAATGCCCAGTACAAAATACTCATTCCAATATAATGTTATGAATGATCGAAAAAATAATACAAATTTGGAACAGTTTAGCTTAAAACTCAATAGTACAGTATATTTACCTTGTAATAGCGCCTACCCCAAAAGAAAAAGCATCAGTAAGTGAAGTGATGAGAATAGATATTGCGGCATCGCTCATAGCTTCACCGATCCGTTTAGGCGCGGAAAAGGCTCGATTCGTATGTCGTACCGCGGAAACCATCAAGAACATATTATCGGTGCCTACGGCAACCAGTAGAAATGGCATTACTCCAACAATATCATTGTATGGCACACCTGTTTTTATGATGAATACAATAAATATTACTCGTAAAATTAATCATAAAATCTCATATTTTGATATTTTCTGAAATTCACAAATTTTGACTTTCCCATGCAGCAAGCAAACTTTTTAACTACAACCACAAGGTATGCACCGTATATTAAGAGCATGTCAATAACAGCATGGAGAATATAGTTCTTGCATGTATCAAATAATGAAGATAAAGTTGACAGATTTAAAATACTTTCAGAAAAGACTGATTTTCAAAGGAAATGTCAAATCTTAAAAAGTAAACTTATTTACCCAGAAAACTGATAATACCGATACCAGTGATGATACCCATTCCAGCATTAATAACACCAAGTAAGGAAAGGATAGGCTTAGAAAGCACCCAATCCACATAAAATGTTCCATCAACAAAAATTAGTGAGCATAAAGAAGAGAAGATGACAAGAATTGAAAATGCCGCAATAAAACGTGGCATCAGAGAATCTGCATTGCGTTTCAGTTCCTCTGCCAATGTTTGTGAATGGAAATACGTGAAAGTGATGTATGGATCAGATGGATAACTTTCTAAAGCCTCTTGTAATCGCTATAAAATAAACAACTTCTTGAGCAAACAATAGTAAAGATTATTTGTTTGAATAATTGCTAGAAACAAGAGGGATATTAATATATCCCTGACCTTCTAGCATTAATTTTTTGCGAGCTAAAAAGCAGTATGATAAAATGCTGTTATTGCTATGACTACTATTATCAAAACTGCTCCAAAATAGTACATATAATGAAAATATTCCATTTTAGTGAATAAAAGTTAGATGCAAATAGCACTGAAATCGAATTAAATTAATGAATCAAAACTTCAAATTTATGCCATTCGTTATACTTTCTTGACAGTTTTTCGAATTCTCTCAAAATAATTTGAAAATTAAATTAATCAAAAACATAAAGTCAAACCTTTTCCCACAATCCAGAAATGTAGCTCACATTATTTGGGTAAAACTTGAGGTGATACACCATGAACCAGGCAAGTCCACCTGCTAATAATATACTATTATTTTGTCCGTGAAAGAGTGAGACACCGCCAAGTGCGCCACCAATGTAACCGCTTCTAAATATGAGGGAAATAATATTTGCGCAAAATTGACTTTACATTTATTTGTATTTTTGTGCTTGTTTTGTTAATAAATGACAAATTCTAGACTGAAACTTTCTAGAAAGTACAGCTTTCCACGAATAAACTTCCTTGCAAATTGCTTATTTTTTGCATTCACAATACTTTTAACTTCAATTTTTACAAGTTAGTAATTGTCAGTTATTACATATTTCTACTTAGCATAAATATAATTAACTAAAAATTTGACATGTTCATTCCATTGAGTACGAACACGTATTCTCACTTAAAAATCTTCTCTTAACTATTTTCTGCTCAAGCTTTACAGAAGCGTTTAAAAAAATAAACTTCGTAATTATTCATTTAGCACAAATTCTGACTTACTTCTAAATTTAAAGCTTAAGATGAGCATAAGATTTATTCCATTTGATATTTTTCAAGTTATTAATATGCTAGCAACAAAAAAATTCAAGTGTAACAGAGTTTGAAGCATATTGCCAAAGTATAAAATTTAGGTAATTACTGTTTTAAAGTTAAAATTCGCGACAAAATGTACAAAATTTTTTACAAAATTCAAAGACTTAGCAATGATGTGAGTGCCTGAAGTACAGAAACCAAATTATTTTAAAACAGTAATCAAATAAAATAAAGTTTGCAGATTTCTTTTAAATCGCATAGATCTTCAAGCAAAGAGTCAATAGCAAAGAATCAGAGAACTCTCTGAGATTCAAATTTTGAATCTTTTTTGGTAGAAATAGCAGTGGCACTCATTTAATTCTTTGATAAATTGTTTAGAATGAATATTTTATCAAAACTCTTTCAAATTTTATGCAAATCTGACACAGAAACGAAGTCTGTAAGTGAAACCTTTCAGTCAAAAAAAATGCTTTGAAGGAATTTTTCTGAAATCAAATAACTTGCAATCATTATTATAATAATAGCAATAAAGCACTGAGAATCACATAAAATTGTAGCATAAAAACAAACGGAACAACGTGTTTAGCTGATCACTTAGCGTTGAAACAGGTCTAAATAACCTAATTAACGAATATAAAATGAAGCGAACTTGACCCCTCAGCACACTGCTCAAGCAGAATCTGTCTATCCATCATCAATCTCTCCGTCTTCTCTTTTAAAATAACTTCTTCGGAATTCCAGTAAACAAGTCCAAGTCCAAGAAGCAACTGTTAGAACGGTTTTCATTCCCTCAACTCATCAAGTCTCATTGCTTTTTTTCCAAATTTGAACATGTTAAAAACTACAGTATTTCGCTGTTGAAGTATTATTTACACTCTCTAATATTTTGTACCTTGAAAACCTATTTTACAGTTTTAATTTTTTGATTAAAAGTTAATGTGTACAATTTAAGTATAACTATAAAATTAGCACAGAACAGGAAGTGGATATAACTGTTGCTGATTTCATTGCAGCTATTTGAAAAATTTTGTACCGAAATTAAATCTGACTTTTCAGATAAAGTTTCTAAAATGGCGTCAAACGGCATTAAACTTGTTGTTCTGCTTTGTGCAATGCTACTTACAATCTGCAATGCTTCTGGACCATGGAATGGATTACCCTCCTGGGACTGGGGTCATTACAACACCTGGAATCATAATGGATGGAATCATGATGGATGGAATCATGACAACTGGGGTCACCATGGTCTGTGGGGTCATAGCGGATGGAACCATGGAATCTGGGGATGGCACTGAACGCAAGCATTTACAATAGCAATTTTCATGAAGATGAAAACGAAGCAAAATTTCGATGACAAATCTTATTTCTTTTTTGATAAATGCAAACTTATCGTTTTATACTAATGCGAATTGTTTTCTCTATATTAGTTGCTAGATAAATGGTCAGTAATAAAGACTAATTAAATCTCTGAAGTACTAATTAGCAAATGCTATTAATAATTGGTCATTTTCAACTTTACATGGCTCTAAGATCAGTGAAATAGTCTTACATAAAATATTACTTAGCCTTTAGATTTATACTATTTGATATTTTTAGATGTCTTTAAACGATAATTTTTCGAAATTACCTTAATTATTCATTTCACAATAATTTTTAAGAACTAAAAACAAATTTTATAGAATAATTATGACTTGAAACATACACAGTGCCGAATCGAACAGTTGGGAAAGTAATATTGATACCATGCTGGTAAAGATCACTTACAATATGAATATGCTTGTTTCCGGGACAGCCGTCACTTCGCCATTGCAAGCACAAGTCTCGATATCTGTAAGCTTGTCGTCAATCTCACGTAAATACTCATAATCTTCACTTTCAATAATTTTTCTTTATAAAAAAAGACGTATAAAATTGATTCCGATAAAATAACACATATAAAAATGAATAATTTGAACTGAACTTCTTATAAATCTTACACATAAACAGTAGTAGAAAAAAGCAAATTATTACAAATTACTAATTTTTTTCTTATTTTCTTGCAAAATTATTCAAATAAGAAAGACAAATTGTAAGCGAGGAAAAATAAAAATTTAAATTATGTGTTCACAAATAGATCACAAAATGAATTTTTTCTCATTTACCTACTGATTCACCTGTATATTTTACCCTTGTAAATCAACTTGACACGATTTTGAATGAAAAAATCTAAACGTCGTACGGATTCTGAATAAGGTCGTTCTAAAATGTTGCCACCATCTTTACTCACCACGATTACCTGTAAGCTTTTAAGAGTAATTTCACATCAAATTTGTTTCTTTCTTTTATGGAATTTTTTTTCATGAAGAGCGAATTTGAATTAAAATTTAAATTAACAATTAAACTTTCTTCAAAAACTGAATTACTGATGATTTTAAAGCAGAAATTTATGTATTTTTGAAAATATTAAGTATTAAGAATAAGTCAAAATGAAATTGCACTTACTTGAATCTCTCGAGACTGAGTGATTGCCCGACCAGGAATATAATTGTGATAATGTAGAGGCCAAGAATTATGAATAACTTGTCGTTCATACTTGCTAGCAGCATTCCATGGAGTAAAAAGATAAACAGCATCACTGATAGGATGGATATGAAGTAGACTTATGGAGCAAAAAGCTGTGATTAAAATCGGTACAGCAATGAAAGGTAACGGGTGCTGAGCTACGTACCGGCCATATCGGTAGAAAAGTCGCGATAATGGCTTCTCGATACAATCAAATTTCCGCATACATACAATCTGATGACTAATTTGCATAATAATCACAGCTATTTTACAATTTTTTTAAATATTCATATCAATTAATACAATAAACTTGCTATTAAATTGATATAATTCGTAAATTGTTGACAAAAAAACTTGACGATATTTATAAAGCATAGTGTCAAGGGTGAATTGCTTGAAAGCATTAATTCTATTCTTTGATTATTTAAGAAAAATGTATTCATGATGCACTTCAATTTTATTAAGCATAAGAAGCTTGATAAAAATTCAAAAACTTAGCTACTACATCTTGACTTAGTTATCTAATAATAGTGCTAATGCTAAGCTTTTCTCGCTAATATCTATTTCACACTGTTTTTAGAAATAAAAGCAAAAACTGCGTTGACTATTTCAAGAAAAAGAAGGAAATATGAAAAAAGTCTGTTAAAAATCCAGATAAAATGTGCATAATGAGTGGTTATTGGTTGAACAGGAAGTTAAATTTTTCATACTTGACCCTTGACCATATGCAATTTTTTTCGACTGGACAAAGTATCCTTAAGAGTAACTCTCCAATGTCAATAATTTATTACCTACAATTTAGCTACTTTTTAAATAATTCATATTCAAGTGTTGTGTCAACTGTTTGCTTAGGTTAACTATCTAGTCACATTGTATACGATTTATTTGCTTTTGTCGACAACTTTTTTATTATTTTTCCTTGCTGGTCAAGAAAGTGTTGAAAAATAGTACCAAATATATGCTGTCTTTTTAAAGAAAATAAAATTTAGCAGTAATAAAACATTTAAAATGATAAATTTTTAATTTAAATTATTCTGAAACTATCAAATTTCACTTCATAAAAGAGGGAAAAACTAAGGCCGTAACTACGTGTCGAATGTTTAAAATTACGGCGCTACATGTGATTTAAATCAATTTCCAATCACCTGCCTCTTTAGAAGATTTAAAAATGAAAGAATTAAGATATGATAGAACTGGAATCTGTGAATTGTTTGCATTCTATCACAAAATTTTCATCTCTTTTGTATTGAATGCCCATAAAATAGCATTCATCGGAAAACATAAATTAAATACTCTAATTTGCAAAAAATAAACAAGAAATTTTCTAATTTATCAAACTCTGTTCAGTCTATGAGTCACTGCAATTTCAATAAAATTGTCTATTCATTTAATGAAGCATCAAGAACTTGATAACTTAATTAGTTAAACACATAAATAAATATTAAATAATTAAGTGCATATTATAGACTACCTAATATGGATTATAAATTCAACAAAAACTAAGGTATTTCCTACATATGCCGCCAAACTGTAATGAAATAAAAATAAATGTATTGGCAAGAAAACGGGGTTGATGACCACACCTGTGACAATTGCCACTGCACACGTAGTAGAGTAGAGAAAAGATTTTGACTGACCTATAAATGCCTCGTCAACCTGTGTGATACACAAATGCATATGCGCATACAAATACATACATTTACCCATCTTTTCCCTGAAAAGTCTATGATAAATTGAAGGATCACTTCTCAACCTTCAACCTTGCACCTCATTTTCCTACAATTTACGATTTATGAAAGAAAATCATACTTGGCAATAACATTACATACATTGTCCCACTCACTAACACTCAATGTCAACAATTGTGATTGATCACAAAGTTTTATTTCTTAACAAGCAACCAAACGAAATTGACAAATAACAAAAATAAAGCATGAAAAACTCAGGAGGACAAATCCATAGCAATTCTGATCTCCGAAGACTTGAAGAGTAAATAAGACACTACATAAGACCATTATTACATTAGTTATACTACTTTTAATGTGTAATAATGATGGAAGGTATAAAATAAGAATCTTCGAATTCAAACCAAAGAAACTGTATATCTACAAGAATAACCAGTGTGTCTACATACTACCATACCTCGTATTTCTATGCTTAATTTATTAAAGTTCGTTATTTTAAATGGGAAATTCAATGACCTTATCACATTAGCGAAACAATTATGTACTGAGTGATTCATCTACTGGCATCAAATTAGTCGGTCGATGATATAAAAGAGCATGCGCTGCTATTTCTGATAATTCTTCTATTAGTTTTGGCTGGTATTTCGGCAATCCTTCTGGCATTTCTCCCTGAATCTTCGCAATTTCTTTTAAGCGCGCTTTGATTTCAGCTTCTTTAGCATCTAACTCAAGCAAACGCTTCTTGATCTGTAAATTTTTGAACATTATTTTTTAGTTCAGATCTAAAGTTTAGAAATAAATGAAAAGGACGTCATTTCAAAATTTAAACTACTTCAGGTCCAAGCCGTTTTCGTTCAAGAATGTATTTCTGATGTTCTTCTTCCATTTTTAAATCCTTTTCTTTCTCAATTCTCTCTTTTAAGAGTGCCTCAATCCATGCTTTTCGTCTTTTTTCAACCTGTTCTTCCGGACGTTTTGGCACATGATAAGCGATTTTTAATTCTGACAAAACCTCAAATTTTATAAAAAAGTCAGTAATATAATTAATACTAAAAAATAGAACTGCAGTACTGATAGTTGCAGAAAAATCAAAGATTATTCCTGAATAAACGAGTTATATGCGGATAAAAATCAAAAATTTGCAGGAAAGCTAAACCTTATCAAAAGCTGCTGTATCAACTTCACGTAATTGTCTTAGTAACTTTCGACGATAAGCAATCATTAGGTGGAGAGGCTGTACAATATGAGCTGGTTTCTATAACAAGTTTCGTACATAATAGAAAATCAACGAATTATGCATCTAGATTTCATATCTTGACACATGATTTTGCTACAATTCAATTCGACTCCAAAGATTGAAATTCAAATTTTTTTCATTTTAAACCTGCCAAATCTATAAAAAGACATCTACAAAGCTGATACCAATTAATGTCTCACTTTTGGCTTATTATCAATTTCTTCCACTAACAAGGTCCATGAACGTATTACACCAGTTGTCCAAGCAACTAAATTAGAACCAAATAAATGGAAATCAAAATACACAAATCTTTCAACATTGATAAATTTGAAAGTCCAGAGCAAAGATTTTACTCAAAGGAAAAAAAGTTAATACTAAAACAGATTCGAACTTAATTTTATTCTTGTTGAATAAAAGTACTTACGCTCAGCGTGAAAAAGAGTTATTGACTTACTTTTTACTTCCAATGAATTTTTGTCAAGCTCGTGCTTTCGAACTTTGTCAATCAAAGCTTTCTTCCACGCATCAGAATAATCTCGCCTTTCGCCAAATTTAATGCTATAGAGTAATTACCAAAATGAAAAATTCAAGAATTCCAGCACAATCTTTGAAAAAGTTTTTCCAATTCATCAACTTCATTTATGACAGAAATATTGCATGAACACAGTCGGTATATTTCTGGTCAACAGTGCGCCTGCTTGAAGGTAAGCACGCAAAAATAATTGTCAAGAACTGGATTAAATAACAAAGTTTTCAACTAAATGAAAAAATCCGAAAACTGATTCGTTAATTAATTTATGTCTGAAAACTGTAATCAAGACATCAACTGAACTGTAACTGATAATATATCTCTAGTTGCATGAAAAATCCGATCGAAGATTTTTTTGACAATAATGATTATGGTAATTGCTGTTTTAAATTGTTATGTACAGTTTGTAATATGAAACCATTATTGTAAAAAAGAAAATGCTTCTTAATCTTTACTTATAAGCAAAACCTAATGTTATGATGATTATATTTCAGATGCTGCATTTTTTATAAGAAATAAAGTATAAAAATTTTCAATGCAAACGATTACCTAAAAATCTTCCTCACAGATTCCGGTACGTCATCCCAATCCAATTCAGCATAATCAGCCTTAGGTGCATTCTCATCAATTTTTGGAACCCAGTCTTTCGACCTGACTCCAATCATACGATCATCTCCTTTAAAATTCACTTCTCGTTCACTTCCAATTTTTTCCTTCCATAAAAGCGACAGTGCATCTACATATCGTTTATCTGTAGATAATATTCATCTGACTGCTAGATTCTTTACAATACTGAATAATCTAACAAAAAACTTTCCGGAACTTCCTACTTCCCATCTCTTCATCTTAAATGACCCACATTGAAGGAGTAATTGATCATACTAACCAATCGGTACTTCATGAGCGAGTTTCTCGAAATGATCGACTTCCTGTCTGGCTGGATCGGTTACTTTCATGTGTTTGTTAAAAAAAGGAAATCGAGGTCTGCTACTTTGCTCCCGTAACGTTTCCAACTGTATTTTAGAACATCCACCAATCAATAATTTACCTATCGTTTTTTTATAAAACATATTCCTGACTGCTGAAATATTAAGATTTCAAATCGACAGAAGTAACAGTTATGGAATTCACTTAAAATATATCTGCACATCAACCATCTTAGATTGATCATCTCCCATGATTACAGAGATAATTTCACTACCCAGTAATCGATCTGTGTCGAAAACTAATAACAAGTTTATGGCTATGCTTATTTGCTAAGCTAACTATCCAGCAGTATCACTCGAAGGTACAGTATTACAGAGCGTCCGAGCCATTTACTGATAATTTGATCCTTCTTGTTCGATCCTTAGAAGGAAAGCAAAGATAAACTGAGATTGTAGCAACTTTTTTACCTGTTTTAAACTCCCATAACACAATTCATTAATGAAAAATCAACAACTTTACTTGCATAAACTTCAAGCAATGTGAGAGAAAATTACAAAGTATTAAAGCACAAGGAGAATGTTGATTGAAGAAGCGATAAAATGTTTTATTTTTTTGGATAAGGCAAAAAATTGTTTAACTGCGCACGACTGAATGATATGATAGATGAGGAATAAAATAGATTAGAACACATCAGCTTTATGTTGTAAACAGAAATCTTAAGATAAACCATAGTTTACATTTTACAATACATGACCCTCTCAAATGTTTAGTCTTGATACAAATTGCGAGAAACACATACCTTAATGACATTGTGACTGTAAAATCTACAAATTTTTATGCAATAAAGAAATGGAAGATGTCTAAAATTTATTTACTCTTCCAATCTTAATTACTTGAAGGCACAGTATTAGAGAGCATCCGAGCCATTTTCCATTATTTTAATTTAAGAAAACAACTGAAAATGACCAAACAATTTTGAGGGAAATCGAAAAGAAGACAACTGAATAACAGCAAACTTCATAAAGCAAATAAACATTACAGAATACCAATTTAAAGAAGGAAAATTCCTAAGCACAACATCAATCTTGTTACAAAGCGTAGATTTACTAAAGAAGGAAACCAATATTCAGTGGGAATGAATATTTGCAGAAAGATATATTTAAAGTGTAATGTGTTGTGATGAACTTTGATTTGCACATCAAAGAATTTTTAACACAGGCAAAGCATGCGACCACTGAACATTGCTAACTTTTTAAAAAATACATAAGAAGTAACAGAGAAAAACTATTCGGGAAAAATTGACGAATTCACCGATTTTCGTTACTTCGATACAATTTTTATCATAGTAGTCTGACCATAGTCAGCAATGAATCAGACATAATTTAACCATCCTTCCTTCACATATAATGTAAAGAATCGCCTTTTTCGCATGCACTGCACACAATTGCTTTAGAAATAATAATTACATTTAATGGAATTCAGAAATTTCTCTATGTGTCTTAGAAGTGCTATTAGCGAACAGTAATAAAAATATTATTATAATATTATTAAAGAACATCAAAAAATAAAAACACCAGCGCACTGGCTATTGAAAAATTCAAAATCAGCGACGACATGGCACAAAATTTAGCACAAAAGTAAAATAACAAAAATAAAGAAAAAATGAAATTGAATTATTTTCACATGTTTTCATACTGGTCTATACGACGTTTAGTGTTACCTCCGCGAATCTGTCGCAAAGTTTTGTATTTATCACGTCCAACTCGCTTGTTCTCCATATGTAGGAGGTCATATTCTGTTAAATGTCGTTTATCTTTTACTGCTTCTAAGTCTGCTGTGAGAGCCTGCAGAAAAAACATGCACATGATAATTCACACTAGTCACAATGGAAGTTAAAATAAAAACACCACAAGAGTGCTTTTTTTGATTATGAATATAATTATTTAAGTGTTCAAGAACAGTTTTTGGAATCAAGAAAGTTGAGAATTTATACACATGCAGACGATTCCCATTCAATAATAAATAAAGCATTAAATGAATAAACTTACATCAAGTTTATGCTTCAGAGAAAGATCCTGCTCAGCAGCTGTCAGTCGTTCAAGTTCCCTCTGCGGGACATTTTCGTCACCACGAGCAGTTAAATCTACAACGAAGCAAAATTTGGATTTAATTTGACATTAATTCTAGCTGAAAATCAAGATGGGAATCATTTTAAAAACAAACTATTTAATGTTGATCCCAGTCATTCCCTCGTGTAGAAAATAATTATAAATAAATACCAGTAGCAATTTGTCCATTTTCACTTGCATTTTCATCTACGTCCACTTCTTTGACATTAAATGCGTTTAAGTGACGACTATTTTCTCGTTCCTGGACAGCTCGAGCTTCCTCAACCTCTCTTTGCAAACGTTCAGTTTCCATAGTTTTTATATCAACTTGTTCTCGCATTTCTGATACTTGCTCCTCACGTCTTCGTACTTCTAGCTCCAAGCGTTCACGTTCTTCGGAACTCATCTCTCGTTCCGATCGAAGCTGTTCGTTTAGCCTACGTAACTCATCTTCTTTCGCTTCCAATTGATCTTTAGCTATCTACAAAACACTTTTATACAGTCCCATAAGATTTGCAAATTAGTTTGAAATTTTAAAAATATAAAATAATACGAGTAATCAAGATGGAACCTGAAGTTCTGCCAGCTGTTGCTCAAGGCGTCGAATGGTATCTTGTGCGTGTAATAACTCTCTTTGAGCTCTTTCCATTTCCTCTTTCATCTTTTCCATCCTCTCTTCATATTCTCTTTGCTTTTGTTCAGCTGCCTCACGTGCCGTCATCTCCTAATTTTCTTTTATTTCATTACATACTTTTTAAACTCATATCTTAATAAAACTCGCGTTTCTCCTAATCTTGTCTTAAACATAATAATTCCATATAATTCTGGTTATATCATAAGTTTATATAAGTAACGAACTTTTGTAAGACGTTCTTGTTCTAGTTTTCTTTGCATTCGTTCTTCCTTGGCTTGCTGCTTCATCTGCTGAACCTCGATTGTATCTGGCTTTCTTCTACGCATATACAACTCATGATTACCCATGCACAAAGCTAGTATCCGCTTGTTTATTCGTAAGCGTGGGGCATAGAACACAAAATCCTCAAATATCATAACAATTACTCCTTATCTTTTAGAGTTAGTATTTAAAAGAGCCTTTTAAAAACTGATTACAAAAATAAACTATGACTTTAGAGTTAAATATTTTTAAAACAAGAACTAATAAGCAACTTTTATTATCGTTAATAAAACAAACAGTAAAGAAAAAATTCTTAAACGAACAAAAATTATTTGAATGGTTTATACCACAATTAAAATGATATACCCACGTTTGCCTTTTTATCGATCGGTTTGATAACGAATTTTTTGTCATTAAATGAAATATTTCTTATTTCAGACCATGGAAAGCCAACTTTAGGAGTGAGACGGTCATTTTTTTCATATATATTTAGACCAAGAGCATCAACACCCAAAAACAACTCGGTCCCTTTCTTGTTGCGAATTTCGAAGTACTAAAAATTTCTACGAATTAATGAATTGAGATGCATAACTGGAAACACAAAATAGAGAGAAATTTTATATATGGGATTAGCTTTGCTCAATGAATAATAAAACTGTATAACAACAAATATAAGCTAAATGATCCCAAACAGTTGCAAAACTATGAAATACTTTATAATTAAAGCAGAAACAACTGTCAATCACTCACAAATATGGAGGCAAAGTGATAGTAAATAATATGTCTTTTACTTTGCTAAAAATTTACTCATCCAAATGAAAAAATACCTTTAGCTACAATTAAAGAAAAAAATCAGAGTTTTATAATGTGCACTATAACATTCATGGTCACTCTGAAACATAGTGATTTTAAATTCTTCGAAAACAGGTGATAGAAACTTTAGCATAAAAACTACAAAAGTTTTAAATTCCTATCACATAATAGTAGTATTTTATTTCAGATTTCTATTTAGACCAATACTTGATCACGAAGTCTCCACTAAACTACCTTTTACCATATTTAATAACAAATTTAGATTATTAAACAAACTATAACTGACGTTCACGCCATACATTTCGAGATCTTGCGCTATTTTTAAATATTCCATCATTGCTTGCTCTCTATTTGTATTTTTATGGTCTGCCCACCAGACCATTATACGTTTCTCCCATTCCTCCGGACTGAAAATAAAACAAAATTTTCAAATGAAATTTTATTTTCATAAAAGTTCGTTTTACGCGCAATATCTTTGCTTCTAGAAGAACAATGGTTCGTGTCTTTTGAGAACACAGAGAGAGAAACAGCATAAGACGTTAAAAATCAAAATTTGTTGTATAGTTCTATAAAATCTAAAAACAAGCTAAAAGAGGTTGACTTTAAAAATGTAGATGTAAGCAAATACTATTAAAAAAAGGTTTATGGTGTTCTTCAGAGCCTCCAAAACTGGACCACAATTTATGCCTGAACTTTTACAAAGTCTAAAACTGGTGACAAGGTAAAAGTCTGTAGAAAAATTATGGAATAAATAAAAAAGTGATCATAGAAACCTCAATTTGAACTGTCCAATGACCCTTTGTGGCAATAATCGGTCTGACGTAAGACATCCTGGCTTATGAGTTTCTGTATTGTAATCGCCATATTTAGCCTGCATCGCAAATGACGCAAGTAGCACTGAAGTCTCTGGAGGACAGTAAATTTCGTCCGAAAGCACAGCATCCTTCACTTGCAGATAAAAAAGTCTCTATAATGTAAATGGAATAAATTAAAAGAAATTTCGGAACCAAAAAGAAAGATAAGAAAGCATTTTTCTTGGATGAAGTTGGTATTAAGACAGAAATATTACCAGAGTGATATCTTGAATTATTTCTTCTTGAACATCCTCTGGATAAAATTTAGCTCTAAATTTGAATAATAAAGTCTGTTCTTTTTTCACATCTTGAGCTGTAACCTAAAACAAAGGTCATGAAGATTTCTGAATAATTTTTATTTCTTGAATTATTCCATTTACATCTCAAGTGACAATGCTTATAATTTTATAGAAGACAAACTTTTTTGTTCAGTTTAAGCCATGTTAGAAAACCCTTTGTGTCCGTGTACTGCAGTCCAAAATACCATATTTCACGAAGGCCAACTGTTTTGACGACTTGATCGAACAACTGTTTCCCAGTGGTGCTCGGTTGGATTGCGAATTCCAGTTCCGCATCCATCGTCGTCACCCGTACATTTATCTAAAATAGTAAATCGTTTTTGAGCAAAACATGGATTATGACAGAAAAAAACCTTAGGTTTTCTAATCTAGCTAATATAAAGGGATTCATTTTTAGCACGATGAAACTTAATCATACCAGCGTGCAAAAAAATGGAATGAATTACTTTCTATACATGAAAATATTTCTATGCTCATAACAAAAAACTAAACAAAAATAAAGTTCTAGAAACAGTAAAATTCTTGACAAATACAAATAATTCCCGCTGTCTGTATATAATAATTCCGACTAACACATTCTTTACTTAAAGACGTTAAAACATTCGAAAATGTTTACACAGCAGTGACAATTTGGATATTTCGCAATTTCATGTTAAAGTACTGCTGAATATTTTCAGATCTTCCTGATAAAGCATTTAATTATGATCCATTAACGAAAAAAATTTTAACATTATATATTTGTTTCGATGTCACAATGTAGTAAGCAGTTTTTTATGCATAAAATATAATCTATGCGCTCAGAAAGCACCTGCCAAAAGATAAATTAAACCATCCCAACGTGATATTAGCTCACCGAAATGGTAAGTAAAAATGCAAATCTTACTGCTTACAATCTTCATGAACTTTTCAAACTGTACAAAAGGAACAATTTTTAAATTCAAAAAATTTTTTTAAGAAATAACTTACCGCCTTCTTAGACATAGTGCCTAAGTATTGAAGTAGCACTCTTCAGTTACAATTTTGCTTCACGTTTTCAAACTGATAACCAGTATCGTTCTACAAGAAAATCAGGCTTCAAAATTATTTCATGTAAATTGTAAGACGAAAGAATACTTAACTTCTGCAACGAAGAAAAAAGAAAATGCAGAAAATGATCTGAATATCATTCAAATCACAATAGTGTTAATATTTGAATTATTAATAACCACAAGAAAAGTCGCGTAATATAAATTTTATGCATCGAATT